GAAAACAAAATAAATTGGTAGCTTGTAGATGAAAACTTCCTTTGTTGAAAAGCATTTATAGTACTGAAGGTAAGGAAAAACTACCTTCATTCATATCATTGTCATACCAGTCTCTTTCTTGTTTTACTATTAACATTCCCATGCTGAGCTGGTTTGGGCTGGTTTAATATGATAGTATTTGGCATCTGTGCAGTTCTTCTTCTTCTCATCTTTAAAGTAGCTTGCTGTGAACTAAGCAGTGTTAATAGTTGGAAGTAAGGTGGTTGAGGAACTACTATGGCCTGCGCTCCTGGAAATGGTTCTGGTGATTTGATGGTTAGCACTCTTTCAATGGAACCAACAATGGCCTTAAAGGGTACCAGGTTGTTGACAATGTTATTCTAATGGGGTGTGTCCTGAGGTCTCCACCTTTCATTCTTTCTAAGCATTGTCATTAAATTTGGCTGTGGGTGGAAGGATTGTGCTGATCTTAATTCCCACAGTATCAGCTGGCTGCTTTGGCAGTTTTAATTTCCTCTCACCCATTTGTATGTAGTTTCGCTACATACAATTAAACAGCTGCTGTCTCCCAAGCCATAGGTTGGTGTATGTCAACAAGGGGTATAAAGTTCACAGTTTCATTTTGTTACCATTTTGGGATCCTTCAGGGTGACAGGTGATTTGGTAGCACTCTGTGGCTGTGTCTACACTGCACCCCTTTTCCGGAAAAGGGATGCAGATTAGACACTTTGGAATAGGCAAATCCGCGGGGGATTTAAATATCCCCCGCGGTATTTGCATTAACATGGCTGCCGCTTTTTTCCGGCTTGGGGATAAGCCGGAGAAAAGCGCCAGTCTAGACGTGATTCTCCGGAAAATAAGCCCTTTTCCAGAGGATCTCTTATTCCTACTTTCAAGTGTGTATATCTACAATACAGTATAAACGGGCACATAAAAGGGTCTGTTCAAGTGAAGTCAATGGGAATCTTTCCATTGGCTACAATGGATGTTGAATCTGGTTTTAAATGAAGCTATAAAAAAGTATTGCTAGTATATTATTTGTATAAAATTAAGTCCTTTTACACCTAGAATGCAAAGGCTAAATAAGTGATTTCCAATAGTTAAGTGAAGGAGACCTGCTTGCTCCCTCAAATCCATATATTAATTCTAGACTCGTAAGAATGGCCATAATGGATCAGACCAAAGGTTCATCTAGCCCAGTATTCTCTCCTTCAACACTTGCCAAACCCTCTGGTTGACGTGTCTGTTTAAATAGTATTCTTGCTTTGTTTCCTTCTACTGCCCTTTTGTATGCATCTATGTGTGGTTTTTTTCCCTTAGAGTTAGATTGTTTTTCTTTTGTGTTTTGTATAGCAACAAATGCAATGGGGTCCTTGTCCTTCACTGGGGATCCTAAGTGCTATGACAATAAAAATAAATAATGATGATGATAAAACAGTGATTAAATGTGTCTGTTACAATCAACATTAACTAAAGCTCAAAATACAATTTAGAACACAGTTGGACAGTTGATTTGACACAGAAAACTGCATTTGTATGCATCAGTCAAACTTACTAGTTTTGTGCTACTAGATGACAGTCTTCAAAAGTTTGAGAGTTGGGGCTTGCCTGCCAGGGCTCATGGCTTCAGACTTGCAGGGGGTTGGGGTGGGGCTAGGAGCTTCTTCCGTGTGAGCCCAGAAGACTCTTGTAGCTTCATCCCCACAGGTGGTATCTGCCAGTGCTTGGAGCTGAAACTCCAAGATTTCCCCTTTCTTCTGGGCAGAAGCCACTAGCCCCACCACCTCTTGTCCCAACACCCCATTGGGGCAAACAGTCTGGAAAGTGGAGAATGGGAGGGGAGATGGTCTCTGTGAGCAGTATTTTAACTGCAAAAGAGCTACATGTGGCTCACAAGCTATGGTTTGGTCACTACTTGTAACACATCCTCGTGCATTGAGGTCCACTTTGGTAATCTTCAATTTACTCACTGTGGCAAATTTTAAACTTTTAATAATCAAAGTTCTGACACAACCAAATTATATCAAATTCCTAGTTAAAAAAAGAGAAGTATTTACAATTTCACATTGACATCATTATTTCAGGATGAAATTAATTCAGGTGCCAAAGTTCTGAGTAAGGCCCTATAAACCATGTAAATCTGATGGTGTGGAGATTGATGAAGAAGGTCTTTGCACTGGCATCAAATAGGTCTATGTGTTCTGAGAGTGATGGATGAATGGTTATGTGGATGTAAGGCCAGGAACATCTGTAAAGGAACTGAGTTTTACAGGTATTCCTGGCCACTAGATCCATATAACCATTCATCCGTCATTGTGAATCCTTATTCAATATCTAGTGTGGCTTCTTTCAACAATTTATTTTAGATATAGTCAAAACTACCATGGCTTAAAATGTGTCAGACATTTATATTTCCTATTTATTTATTAAAAGCAGCTGTTCCATTGGTACTGCTTACAGAGCTTTTTGAACCATTATTTTTGCTGACCGTGCTCAGACAGCTTGTTTAAACTGCATCTCAAAAATACCCATAAGGTCGCTTTACTTTCCAAATCCACAAATACTTATTTGTTTTGCTAAAATACTGTTATTGCTGGTTAGTTTTAAAACAATCCAAATGTATTCCCTCCCTCATAAAATCTCTTATTTCTTTTAGACAGAAAGAGTTGCACATCATACATTGATAGCAATTCCTGTCAACAAGCCAAATTAATGGAGTTGGAAAGGGATATTGTCCTGAAGATAGTGCTACCATGTGCACATGAAAAGTTAAAGATGTTGCTGCTATAGGGAAGGATATATACAGGACTGATCATTAATAGAAGGCCATTAAATGGGAATAAATAGTGTCCTCTAGGGAGAAATATACAGAAAACCCTTTATGATTCATCTGGGTATGGCTTGTCATAATACAAAGAGATAACTTTGACATAACTAGTTGAAAGTGACCTGTTACACTCATATAAAAACCCTTTATATTTTACTTTGTAGTATGGAATATAGATATTAAAAGATAGATTAGTGCATGTAGCAATTTACAAGCATTTTATAGAACCAAACATATCCTTAAAAATCTAACTCCTATCTTGTAAAATGTTAACAGATAGATGAGCAGGTCTGGTTTCCAACTATGAATTTGTCAATGCCCAACTGATTCCTTCAGATTTGGCAAGAGCTGGTACCTAGTTTACCAGAATCACAGGCATATTATTTAATAGTGAATGCTTTGGAATGTGAGAGAGATCATGTCTTCTAAGGTTTGATATTGCCACAAGACTTCTAGGGTGTGTCTAAACTACATGGCTCCATTGATGGAGCCATGTAGATTAAGCTGATTGCCAGAGGGAAATGAAGCCTTGATTTAAATAATTGTAGCTTCATTTAAATTTAAATGGCTGCCACGCTCTGCCGACCAGCTGATGATCAGCTGTTTGTCAGCAGATCGGGGCAGTCTGAATGCTCTCGTGCCGACCTGAAAGCCCTTTGTTGACCTCCCCCTTATGCCTCGTGGGATGAGGTTTACCTGGGAGGTCGACAAAGGTCTTTAAGGTCGACTGGGGAGTGTCCAGACTGCCCTGATCTGCTGACAAACAGCTGATCAGCAGAGCCCAGCAGCCATTTAAATTTAAATGAAGCCGCGATTATTAAAATCACGGCTTCATTTCCCTTTGCCAAATAAACAAATCTACATGGCTTCATCGACGGAGCCATGTAGTCTAGTCGTACTCCTATTGTCTCCAGCTCCCTTTCCATTAAATGTCTACAGGATCTACAGCAGCAGGTCTTCATTCCTACAAATGTTAGGAGGGCTGCAAGGAGAGGAAAATTGGGTACAAATAAAGTTTTGGGGGCATATACTCCCCTAGTTCTTCTATTTGCCTTTTGCTATGGATCACCTGAAGAGTGCAGAAATAGCAACCTCCAGCAAATGGAAAAAATCTCATTGATATCGCTTGCAACTCTTAGGAGTACTGTTTGGACAACAGTCCCATACTCTGAGCCTAAAGAGACCTGTCAGCTGCTCCCACCCACACCCCATGTCCTTTTGAGACTTCTGGTGGAAAATGGTCTGTTGTTCTATTGACCATTCTGTCTAATAACATATTGGAATACTTTAAGGGCCAACACTGCAAAGAAAGGAGCTCAAAAGTTGTTCCTCTGACTGACAGCTTAATTTTTCAGAAGTCCTTTGAGATACAACACTAAGTTCAATACAACTAATGTTCATTCTTGATGTTAAAGAAAATGTTAATAATTTTAGTTTTTTACTTTATTTAGTGCCTGGAGCTTAATTAAAAATTCTGTGATGTCAATAAGGATCTTTGGAATTATCTCATTAGGCTTGGAACAAGTCTTAGATCACTGCTTGGAAAGTTTTTTTTTTTTCATGTTTATGCTTGCATATTGCAAAAGATGTAAAGAAGGTTTTTGCAGCTGTTTTTAACAGGTCTATTTTTAAGATAACATAATTAACAAAATATTGTCTGAATCACCTCAAAGTTTCTAGAAAATATTTGCTTTGGTCTCTGAACCAGGTTACAAATTTTTACACTGTGATAAACTTTGTAGAAGAGAGCTCAAAATTCAATTTAGAATAATGGAAACACTATGTTCTCTAAATTCTATGGAAGTTAACCAGCAGAGATTCTGGATTATGGCAACTTTTTGAGAGGGTAAAAAACTAATTCTTATAAGTTAGCAAAATTATGAGGCAGATATTCAGCTGATGTAAATTGTCATGCTCTGAAAGTGCTGGGGGGGGCAGGGTTGGGGTTTCCAGTGCTTTTCTACTGCTGGATACATACCCTTGATATGTATTTATTATTAAATCCCTCTCCGATAGTCTGATAAATAAAATATAGCTATGACTTTCAGCAAAACTGTGTATGTGTGTCCTCCCTTTATCGTTGTATCTCCAAATACCTGATAGGATAGACTTACATATTATTGCATTTATTTTAAAACAATAGAAGCTAGTGCATCTCAAGTTAAGTACTTTATTTTTATTGGGCAGATTCAAAGATGCCAGAATTCTTTTGCACAGATGGAATACTTAAAGCAATTGTTGCTAGTTGATAAGTCTTCAAAGATTTTTGCTTGAGGAAACAGAAAAGAAACTGTTAGTCACACTAACTCGGAAACCTTGCTCTAATCAATAATTGTGTTCTGCCTTGGGCCTTGGAAATAACACAAACACACACACAAACCAGCATTCAGGCTATCCCACCTAAACCTGAGCATAATTAAATTTTTTCAGTTCAGAAATGCAGTAATAGTAAGGTTTGCAATATATGTACAGTCTTTTTCACAGATACTCCAAATTTTTGTGACAGATAATAATTTCATAGGGCTTATACAATAGGCTGAGTAACTGGGACATTTATTCTATAAGGTTATTCTATAAGGGGAATACAGATTCACCACACCAAGTGGCAGTGGAGCTGTTGTGTTTGTAGCTGCTATCATAGACTCTTGGGGCCTCTGTAGCATCTTCAGCCCCTTGTGTACCCCATCCACAAGTCATCTATGGAGTCTCAGATCCACCTGCTCCCCCATCTCCATCAAAGCAAAGCTTAAGTAGGACTGAATAGTGTGTATGCCTTTTTCTGTAATTTGTTGTGGGATGAATTTCACCCTATGTACTTGGAAGCAATGATCCCTTATGATATATAATACCTATGGCCTACATGATATGACAACCACCTTCATAGGGTGCTTGCTTCCTATTGTCATCTGCAGTGGAACTGAATAACTTCTGTTGAAACATGGAATTCAGAGTCATGAGAGAAAGGGTTTTTTTTTTCCTCTATGATTGCTACATGATATAACAGAACAAAATTAATCTCACAATCTTGTTTGTTCAAAGAGACAATAATTTTCTTTTCTTGTGTTGTGATATGCCATATTGTTCCCATATGTAACTAAGATCCCAAGCTCTTAGGGAAGTGGCTTGTTAGTTGGCACAGTAACTACCCATTTTACAGTGCTGTGCAATAAATTCCTATCTAATATCGAGAGATCTCATAGCATATCTTGAAACATTTTACCCACAGTAACTGGGAAACTACAGCATGTCAACATTCTAATCATTTCACAGCAAACTGTTTCAGCTGAACACTTGACTGTAGACATCTTATAAAAATATAGCAATAAAGCACAGCAAACATAAAGCAAGAAAGTATATGTAAAAAATTTTCTGACGGTTAAGGCAAGAAAAAAAAGATTCAGTTCTAATGCAAGAATCTTTGCTGAAGTACATATTTTTGATGTTGCTGCTTATGAAGTCCAGATACCTCACTCTGAATTCATCTTATTAGTAAATTCACAATTTGTCAACGTTCTCCTGCTACCAGGTCTGGCAGGGAAGAGAGGGAAAAAATGGAAAAAAAAATAGCTTGTTTTTCAGTGAAATCTAAACACATCACTTTCATGCAAATGTACCTTCCCTGTGCGAATTTGGTGAGCTATTTCTCTCACAAAAGATTTTTCCTCTAATTGTTGTATCTGCCACTTACTAAATCTGTTTGCTAAATTACAAAGTCAGCCTTCGCTGCGGGTGTACTGCCAGCCACTTCTTTCACAAAAGATCTTTAGTCTAATTGTTTTATCTGCTGCTTGCTAAATCTGTTTGCTAAATTATACCTTTCATTGAACTTACACCAAAACCTTCCAGGAAGCAATTAGTAGATACTGACATATTATATAGCATAGCTTATGTGCTTTAGAGTGTGTGGGAAGGTCTGAAGGATGGATGTACAAATAATATGTCAGTCAAGAGACTACACCAGCACCCGACCCAGCGTTTTCATAAGACCATACTGTTCTTCAACAAATATGTCAAAGATGTGTCTTCCTGAGCGTTCCTTAAGAAAGTCACAGTTTAGTTCTTTACCTTACTTTCTATGGATGTAAAATTGCCTTTCAATGGCAGATTCTGTCACCTTTGGTCATGTCAAGTTGTACGTTGTTCAGAAAATAACCCCACTGAGCCATACTCTTTTTTTTTTTGCTCATGTTAAACAGTACATTATTCTACAAATAGTTCCCATGAAATCAATGTGATTGCTCCTTGAACAAGTTGGGCAGAATCCACCCTATATAATTACGAGTGTTTTGTCCCTAGTTTTGGCTCTTTGATATTGAATCCAAAATGGAAAACAAAAATTAAACCTGTAAATCCAATGTGGGCTATGTTGATTGATATGTTTTTAAGGCAAGTAGTTGGCTGTTTCACGTCTCCCCTTCCTTCATTACTTCATGCCTCCTACAACAGGGCTTCAGGACAGAGGATCAAAGCAAATCCATTCCTAGTGTCCCATGACTACACCACAAAA